CTCGCGGCGGATATGCGCAGCAGCAAGAAGGTTTCGGCCATCCCTTGAGGGTGAGTCTAGCCCTGCTCGCCAGAAAGACCCCCCCCTTCACTACAACCCATGTCTAAGCAAAAGCTTGTCGAGGAGCGAGGGGAAGAAGGAAGAGTCTACTATAGAACGCCGCTATTGCACGACAACGAAGACGGTGGCCTCCGCTTGCCTTGCACCCCAGTGTCGAGCGTTCGTGGGAGGCGAAGGAGGCGGAGGAGGGGGAGGAGCAGGAGGAGGAAAACCAAGCTAGCTCGAGAGGAAAAGTAAGCTTTAGGCAAAGAAGGTCCACACACAACCGGGTCATCTGCCGCCGCACGACCATCACCACTACCTACCATCTTCGACAAGGGCAGCGCAACCAGAAGTACGCAAAAAACGATGTCACCACATGACCCCTGCGTGTTTTCCGCCGCTCCGCGCAGAATGCCTCACCACCGTCTCCGCGACTTACCCCACCGCCGGCAGTAGGGATACCGAAATTGAGGCGGGCACGGGCACCAACACCGAAACCGAAACGGCCTTGGACGACATCGGCAACAGCTAACGACGAACTTGATAGGTTCTGCTGCTGGTGATGATGATCAAACGACGAACCTGATTGCTGCTGCTGATGATGATGATCAAAGCGCGACTCCGCTGCCCCCTGCAGGGTGTTTACCACAACCGCCGTCTTGGCCTCAAGGAGGGACCAGAACCGGAGCAGCTCCTGCAGCGGCCCGTGCCACCAGGAGTGGAGGGCGTGGTGGGCACGACCCTGAACGTAAAACTGAAAAAGGAAAAAAATGACAAAAAAAAAGATAAGAAAGAATGATCAGTGTACTGTATCGCCGAGAAAAACACAATTAACACTGATGAGCGCTCAGACGTGTGTTGAGAAAAGAACATAGTCTCAAGTCAAATACGACTAACATCGAACTTTTCTATTATTGCAGTTGCGGCGAAGAAGATGTGGTGCCGCCGACATGAAACTTGGTTGGACTGTGAAATATATCCAAAAAGGGAGCGGGAATCTCGAAAGTGCTTCTGTTGAAGTTGCACGATTATCGAAATGAAACCAACAACAACGACGGAATTTGCCCTCGGCAGCGCCTTGATGCAGAAAAGTAGCGAGCTACAATTTCCAGCCGGTTTTCACAAGGGAAACTCATCGGAGTATTGGTGGGCAAGTGTTCGCGCGGAAGCAGTTCACCGCAGCAAGTGCATTGCTATTGCTAGTGCCGTTCTTTCTCTGCCTTGTAGGTGTGGGTTGCACAGCAGTGTCGGAGTGTCTGCATGGACCTTGAGAGAGTGAAAGCGCATGGCCGGAGACAAAAAAAAACAAGGCGTGGACGTCGAGACTCTGATTGAGACAACGACAAAGACACGCACTCTAGGCCCTCACAGAAACCGGCATAGGTTGGGATGTTGGAATGCAGCGCTTCAGTCCGATGTCGAACCACATTTGACCGAAGTATCGTCGCGCGTTGCTTGCCTCGCACTCTTCCTCGTGCTGTTCACACCGAGAGGCTTAGAGGCGGCCACCAAACCGAACGAAGCCTCTTCACAGAAAACCGTATAGGAGCTGCACAAATAAAAAAACATCCAAAAAAGAAGAAGAAACACAGTGTCGCCGCCGCAGCGCCGCCGCATATCATGCTACTGTACCTGTCGAATCCACTCGAACTCCAGCTCGGCGAGGGTAAGCTGCTCCGTCTTCCACTGTTTCAGGGTCCTCCGGTGCCCGTCCCTGAGGACGGTTCTACACCTGCCGCGGCCACCGCCACCGCCGCGATGATGATGAGGTACTGTAGCTCACGAGGGAGACAGACCTCACGGAGGGAACACACAGAAGGCGTGTCGCAACCAGGCGGGGTGTGTGCACAACATACCACGCTCCTTCCCCGTCCGAATGAGCGGAACCCTGGCACACACGTTGAATGAACTAGTGCTGTTCTTGGTGTCCTTTGCCCCTTGTCGCGCAACGGTATCGCGGGAAGACAGTCGATATGCTGTCCAAAGTGATACTCTGGAAGTATTTGCTGCCACTGCTGTCGCTACAGGGGCTGATTGAACTGCACACCGCGGGACGAATGTACTTGTCGGATGCGTTCGGCATGTCGTCGAGTGAGCCTTGCGTGACGTTTTCGTTTCGGTGGAGACTTAACGCTGGTTGCAACGGGCTCAAAAGTAATTTGTTGTTCTTCCCACGAAGTACACTTTCTAGACAACCATTGACTTAGATTCATACACGTGCTGACGATATGGCACTATTCTGCCCTTTGTAGGGGTTTCAGATGAATCCATCAATCACGAGTAAAGTGACGCAGCCGACAGGTGACCATCGACCCTTACATTCAACCACCGTGTCCCTACCATGTTCTTACGCGAGACGTGACGAAAGGGCCTCCGAAATTTTCTACGTGCCACATGTTTCGTCATACCACACGACGAAAGCAGGGAACAACAGTCTCGCCATGTGCAGCGGTTGGCTCTAGGTGGTCGCCATCCAATCTTTCGATCGTCGCTCACGGCCTACCCTACGACTTTGCCTCTCTAGCTGACCCCTCTCGACACGGAACCACGCGAGAAGGATTGCGTCATCCTCCCCACAAGTGCTCTCAGGAGCAAACGATCTCTGCATAAATAGTGACACCTTGCCCGCGTTCGATTTCCCAACCTGGCCACGAGAAAGTTAACACGAGGTCAACATCAAAACTGACGGGGAGGCCAGACGGACTCCGGTGTGCTGTGCCCTATATTTATCCCATACCTTCCCGAGATGTAGTCGAAACTGTGCCCCTGCTTCTTGGCTACCCTGTGGGTGCTTGACCACCTGCGAAATAAACGGGGGTAGAAAAAACACAAAAAACGCTCGCGGTTGAGCTCGGCCTCCAAAATCGAGCGGAACGCACGACCCTTGCTGTTCCTCCTGCTGCAAACGGTTGGGAGTGGAAAGGACGGTTTCCGGTCTAGAACACGATGCGTGTTTTCGACGGCCTAATGACGCAGCCAACAAGGAACCCCCCACATAGAACGCCGATTCCTACCGGTGCGATTGCCCCGCCAAGACGGCGTGCTGGTGATGGTGGTTGAAGTCGTCCAGGAGGAAGTAGGCCGACCTTGACGGTAGCGCCACCGCTACCGCGGGCGCTCGGTCGACCCTGCTCGACTGTTTACCCCCAAAAAAGAAACGGGGTAAGGGACCAACGACGCCAAAGGGAGAAAACGACGGGGGGGGGGAGTCCACCCGGCGATTTACTGGATCAGCCGAGCGGTTTCTGTTGCAACAGCATCGGGTTTATCGCGGGTACAGCGCCGTTGGATAACGGTGGGACAACCATTTCCCATTTTCCACCACGTGCTTTGCCAGCCGCCACACACCAGCTTCATATTTTGCCGCCATGACACCCTCTCTTTACGTCGAGTAGTCACGAGCAGCAGAAAACAATAATAAATCGAACAGAGGCACCCTCGCAGCGGGGAACATGCCCAAGCGCCGCTCGCCAACGGCGATCTATTCGCTCCCCGGACGCATCATAAGCCAATCCCCGGACTTCTGCTACCTGATGACCGCCGCATACCTAGCCGCCGCACCCACAGCAGAGCGGCCTACCTCGTTTTCAGTCGCCGCTAGCTTGAGCTTTCCCGCCGACGGTCCCTCCGCGTCAGGCTCCACCCTCAGCGCAATCCTCCAGTCAGCGGGGACGGCAGGGTTTGCATCGCCCCCGTTGGCGTTGGCGTTTTTATTCTTCGCCTCGGGGTCGGTCACGTGGTAGACCGCAATGCTCGAGTAGTGCTCCAGGCATGAGTCCGCGTGCCACGAGACGGAGCATCTGCGACGTTCGTTCGTGTGTGAAACGGTGGTCGTGGTTGTGGATCGGGCATCCTTGACGGGCATCGATCGCAGCGAACGGCTGGCACAACAGGATACCAATCAACAAACAAACATGCCACAGCACGCGTACCGCTGTGTTGACGTTAGCCACACCACCGTACCGCTCCGACCACAACCGTCCTCCACCTAAAACACGGGCAACACAACAATTATTTCACTATTTAGCAATCCCCAAAACAAATACGAACCACCTCCCCCCGCCGCAGTCGAAACGTACCGGTCCTGCCCGAACGTAGGCTCCAGCTTCAGATCTGGCCGGTCATCGGAAGGCTCCATGCGGTTGATGAGCGCCACGTTGAAGTCGCAGCTCCCGAACTCATTGCCCTCACCCCCCTCCCGCCGCGCCTTTCCCTTCCCACCGCCCCGGGCTCTCAGCAGCCTCAACGAGCGTTCCTTCAGCTTGTCGTTCAGGAGGCCAACCCGCCGCAAGGCAGAGGGGACGCCGGACCCGTGTCCCCGGTCGGGATCGGCCTCCTTCGCCGTCGTCGACCACGGGTGGCTGAACATCCTGAAAAAAGTGTTCATGCGCGCGTGTGTGTGCTTCATGTGTCGAGGTGTGACGTCACAGGAGGGATCGACAACACGTGCCAGGGGTGTGTCGGCAAGCACTTCTCCTCGATACCGAAGCGCATAGTTGAGCCGTCAAATCTACCATTGCAGACCCTTAACCCGTCACCACCAACAGCATTCATCGCGAGAACTGATGGGCTCGTCCTCCATGTGGTGGTATATACCTCCGGCTGTCATATTTTCTGCGGCGAACAAACCTGCAAACCCACCCAACAACATGTGAGCAACATACATGCACACGGAAGGTGGTTGCGACTCGTGCGTGCGAAAACGATCCGAACGGGTGCCCCCGCTCGCTCGACTCCGCTTTACCGCAAGCAAACCAACGGGTAGTCAACCTAAAGTCTCCCTCAGCAGGATCACCTTAGCGAGGAAAATATTCTTGATCTATGAAAGGGAAAAAGGGGTTTCTTGTCCCTGTATCCCAAAACTTTAACCCCCAACTCTTGCGCTAAAACCAAGCTCAATATCCTCGCGAAGGCCTCAACGACCTCAGCAGCATCCGCAGCAGTAGCTGAGGACCATCTAGCACTTACCTCAACCCGAGGTACTTGTACGTGGTTCCGGGGTCGCCCACGAGGGTCCTCCTCACGTACGTCATGGCGCACTTGGTGCCGAGGCCGAAGGGCTGCGTGACGTCCGCCCTGAAAACGCCCCCTTTCTCGAGGCCATCGAACGCCTGCCGAGCTTCCTCGTGCACCTGCACTTGAGCGTTTGTAGTTCGTAGGGTGTTGATGTTGTATTGTCCGGATAATCAGAAAACAGCCGGGAGGGAGAGTCATTCAATCTCATTGGTGGTGAACCAAGGTGCGAGATCATGATGGTGCGGCCGATCATTAGCAGTCTTGGGGGGGACCACTGACTGTACCACGGAGGGGGTGATGATGTTGAGCACTTTCAAGTGCGGCTACCATACAGGGGCGTGCGTTCAAATGATCACGGATCACAGTGTGATTCGGACTCAAGCCGGGAACAGGCCACACTATCCTCTGAAACACACATTCCCCCCGCCCCCAATAAAAAAACACAGGTGAAGCACAACCACGCACCGAGATATTTTTTTGTCCCTCTAACCTTGAGTAGGCCACCGGGCGTGCTCTGTCATTTTCTTGTGTGGGCTTCCCTGGGACGTCTATCGTAGTGAAACCCAACGCAAGCACTGCGGCAACCTTGAAGCTGCTGTTTTCAATGGTGGTTGTTGGTGTAAAGTATTCGTATTTCGGAGGCTGTTGCTTTAGCAGTTAACTTGACACTTCGCGCATCAACTTAACATCGAGCACAGCTTCCTCGGCGCTCCTGCTGGCAGAAACAACAACCGCGCCGCGGAAGGCGCGCCAGCGTGCAACGCCGAATTGCCGTATGGTACAGCAAGACTCTCCACACAACAAGCAATGCTTTAAAGTTATCGATGCATGTATGCTCTTCGTCCTTCTGGTACCTTTGAGAACACCTCGAGAAACACGAAAACACCTACGGGGGGGCGTTCGCACACTTTTTCACCCGCTCGCGAGGGAATGGGAATGATGTACAGCAGTGCGGTGGGTTGCCGAGAGACCCGAGGCCGCAATTGAATGCAATACAGATAGCGCCCGCAATTAAGTATTCTTAAAAGAAATATAGGCTTACATTTCCACGAAAAATAAGAAAGTAGGGTTAAGAAACATAGTTCAGTCTGGGTCCCACAATAAGAAATGTCTCAACAAGAAACAGCGGCGACCGCTGCCGCCCAATTATGTAAGGAACGAGGGGTTACGGGAGAGTGTGTCGAATAAGAAAAACCCCACAGCTTCTCCCATCTCTCGCTCTTTCCCCCCTCTCCCACTCCCCCCCCCCTCCCAAGTAATTGTACGACGAGGGGGGAGTGTGTTTTTTTGCGGCACCCCCTCTGGCCCCTTGCCGGCCCTGTTGCTCTCTGGCGCTCCGGCTCAGGCGCAGCACATCAGACAGGCTGCGAACCACGATATGCTGTCTACTGTACGGTTTTGATGGTGCTCTCCGCCAGCTCTCGTGAGCAGAGAAAATAAGAAATTGCCGATTTAAGAAATTCAGCAGGATTTGGCGGCACGAAAAAATAAGAAACCTAACATCAGAAATCGAACGGCATACGCTTCAGTTTATAGCCCACAACAATAATTCGAGCCTGGCCCTGAAATAAGCGTTTCTTCATTGCGGGCGCCAACTGTACTTTCGGTTACCCGGCAGCAGCAACAATCAATGACAAACCCGGGTGAGCTGTAGACTCCACTACTCCACGCTTGGCAACCGATGAGCAGGCCACCTTGCTTTGTTCCACACTCTTGCCACGGTTGGTGCATCATGCCATTTCTTCTTTCAATTTCTAGATGTGGCTCGCCGTGTCTAGTTGTAAGAAACCCCGGTATGCACCTTGTACGCAATGGTGGTCCTTGTCTTTCTACCCGAAGAGTTGCCGTGTGGAGTATGCACACGCACAGCAGGAAACCTCTGGGCGGGGTACGAACGAGGTAGTATAATACAAAATGAGTAACTGGTACTCCAGTCCTTCCAGTACCGCTGATAGGAGTATGCAAATGCTACCACCGAGTAAGGTGGTGAAGTTGCTGCCCGAAACTTGCCTTCCATCTGTGGAAGCAGACACAACAGGCACAGTAGCCGCAGCAGTGAAAACAGCAGCAATACGCTAGCTAGTGCAGCAGCCCGCCGACTAAGTGTACAGATACACATCCTATACATCATCAATGTCGGTCGCGCCGATCCACAAGCTATGAATGACGGATATTAGCTCCACCGGAAAACGCTTTCCGACTGCTCCACAGCGGGGCGGGGGGAAGAGCCGGAAGGTAAAGGCCACGAGCACGTACGAACTTTCCCGAGTTGCACGACCTCGCCATCCACCACCCCACAGTTGAAATCGAGCGGTCCAACGGCAAAGTACTACTGCTGTCGGGGAGGGGGAGGGTGATGTCTAACGTCACACACAGCCAAGTACGCTGCCTCACCTTAGCATCAAAGGCCTCCGGCGCCTCGACGTGAAAACCCGCGTAGCACTTGCTCACTATCTCCTGAAATTGCGGGTGCGACTCCTCTACGAAGCGGTCCGGAGGGCCTCGAAACCCCGAGAAGCTTGGGGGCTTGACGCTGATCCTTGCAGGGTGGTGCTGCGGGGTCTGCTGGTGGCGCTGCTGTGAGCTGCTGCCACTGCCACGACCACCCTTGCCCTTGCTCAATCTACCACGCCCTCTTGCCCCCCGTCCGCCCCGCCCTCTATCGCCGTTGGACTTCGCCATCCCATGCACGTGCAGCGTCCAGAGTATCTATGCTATGGATTCCATGTGCTGGGGCATGCAAAGCTGGCAACACGGCGATGAGTGTGCGACATCTCAAACAGCAAGCAATGCACCGCAACCTCCCCCACACCGAAGAATTATATGCACCCACAGGGATGCATATAAGCCATGCAACCACACCTTTTCTACCGAAGGATATCTTTGTGATGCATTGTGGAGAGAAGTTGGAAGCTCCATTGGAATTGATTCCCCCAGTAGTTGGATTACTAAAGGTGGAGAAGAAATCCTGGAGATTTTATCTGAGGCAGACCAGATGGCACGTTCAACTGGTGATTCTGCCCCACATGTTGTGGAAACATATGACTTTGTTTCCATGTATAGAGTACTAGCATACCTCTGTCTACTCTTTTAGTTCAATTGAAAGAATTCATTGATTTGGTGTTTGACTTCCAACTTCGTGATTCTGGATATCGTTCAATTAATGTACAATATGGCTTCAAGAGTAGTTGTCCTTTCATCATCAAAGAAGAATTGCATTGGTCAACGGAGGAACCGGTTGCAGCTAATTTGGAAGTCGCGAAGGAGAAGACATTTCTTGTTGGGAAAGAACGACTCTTCAGGTGGTGTGAATTTGTTTTGACGGAAGGTTAATTTCAGTTTGGACCTCATATGTATCGCCAGTCTTCTGGCATATTTATGGGATCCTCACCTGCACCCGATTTTGCCAATATATTTGCTTACATGCATGAACTAAGGTTTTATAAAGAGATGGTTGCAGAGTTCCGAGAAACACAACTAAGTGGTCGTACCCATTATATGTACCCTCGAGTGTTCATTGAACAATATGGCGTAAGGACTAAGAGGTATATTGATGACATCATCATTATCACTTTGGCCTCACAAGCCAATGGTTTGAGACTTAAGGATGTCATCTATAAAGAAATAAAATAGTGAGTAGTGATACTCCGTACGATCCACTTGGCATGGGCATGAGTGAAACGTTAGGAGGAATGTATGACCGACTGATACNGACCGACTGATTAGTGATGGAGACGGCAATCTCATCCCTAACAGTATTGAGTTGACCCAGGAACAAGTAGGACATAGTGCGCACTTTTTAGATAGGGAAAAAGGCCAAGACTTGGCAGGCTCTCAAGTACCAATGTATGATAAACGAGACACGATGAGTTCTCTGAAGTCGTATCGCCGATTCCCCTACATTGAGACCAAAACTAGTTATTATCGTTCGAAGTATGCTGTGTTACATAGTCAGTTGTGTAGATTTGCAGTTCGTTGTACACGTATTAAATATTTTGAGCGAGCAACAGCTAAGTTGATGAGAGATATGTTAACACACCATTACAAGGCGAATCTTT